AGCTACAAACCAGGAATAGATGGGTTATCAATAGCAGTATGTGGGCATCCTCCGTTTTTACGCTGTCTTTAGCTGGGCTTCTGTGCAAAGTGGATATGGAAGCATCATTGAAAAGGGACCCCAAATGCATGCAAGTGAGAGAAGCAGGGGCACTGACTTCCACAGCCACCTACATTTTGGGAGGAGGTGACACACAAATAAGGATTATTCTACCATGCTGATAATCTCATGCAGAGCAGAAAAGAGCCGTCTGCCTGCAAGCGGTTGTGCTTCCAAACAGCCCCTTTACTGCTATTGCATCCAGTCCTGGGGCAAAAGATGACAGCTTCAATCTCTTTGGGAAAAGCAAAGCCGTCAAGGTTCACTAAGGCAGTCTTTGCAGCATCAAGGCACTACACAGCAGCTATAAGATTCAGGTTTATTTTGACCTTTGTGGTTCTGGAGGACTGCTTGAAGGGAACAATCATGGTTCGGCACCCAAAGGGAGAGCACGGATAGTGACACAACCTGCAGTTTGCAGGTACAAGAGGAGATGACTTGGTCCTCAGCAGCCACCTGCCTGCCTGCCTATTCTGGGTTTGCAGCTGTGCCCAAAGCCCTGCAGACTTCCAGGTTTCTTAGTCCATAGAAATCAGACGGCTGGCAAGAGTGAGATGGAAAGTGAAGGCTGGCAAAGCATTTTTGAGGAGCTCTTGATTGCTTTGGTCTCACAAGCAGAAAAACCTCAGCCAGCTTCACATGCGCTGGCTGGAGACCTGGAAGGGCCTCGCCACATCCGTGTGCCGCTCTCACTGAGCCCATCAGGCTGCCAGGGCCAGACCAAGCGTTTCTGTCAGCTCTTTTCTTGCTTGAAATAATAGTTTTAGTACAAAAGCAGAAAGGACCAGTCATTGTCAGCTGCTGGTAGATCTCCAAGACCCACAACCAAGATATACGAAGAAATGTTTACGCAAATCTCATTAAAATATATCCATCCTCTTTCTGTGAGAGTCAAAAAGCTCCAGTACCATCTGCCAGAGCAACAACAAGTGTCCAAAGCTGTCAGCATGGGGCTAAACCAGGAGCCGATCTCAACACAGCCCATTGAGAAACAAGTCAAAACACTTTTAGTGAACCTTTAATTGCAGAGTCTAGTAATCGTCAGCCGATGAGATCTGAAATGTGGATCAAGCAACAGCTTAAGTAAGCGAGCTTTGCAACAAAACTGCAGAATCCACACACAGACATTATTTTTCACAAGAATGAATCAAAGCTCCTTACTCTGCCAGTACTGTGCGACAGCGCTAGTTATTTTCAGAAGTGGAGTTGGAGGGGCTCATACTTCACAGAGGACATCGCTCCTACGTAGCAAGGCACAAAGGATCCACTTTTAGTCTGAGCCAAGATCACCTACAGAGCCAGGCCTTTGCGCCTGGCTTGTGTTTAGCTACTGCTGGCTTCATTCAAGGGTACGAGCACAGGAAACTTGTGCAAGCAGTCCCTGCTAATGCACTTGCACATTTACAAGGCAGCGGAGCAAAACCACACTTGAGTCACAGCTGAACACACTTGATGGGGAGACACTGATGTATTTCACTATATTTAGATCAGCCTGGATCATCTGAAGGAGCATAAGCAGCAAAAGAAAAAGGAAGGAGAGAAGGCATTTTCTTTCATCAGGCTGTTAAAGAGTAGTCAGAGAGAAATGAAAAGGGCAAAGAAAATATTACCACTTACTTTGCATCTCTGGCTGCCAAAGAACAGATATTTTCTTAAGCAAGATTCTGATTACTGAGAGCAGATGATGAGGAATTAAGAAACCGGGAGATAAGATCAGGAATAGTTAATGAAAAACTTGGGATCTGTAAAACCAGTAAATGGGAAGGCCATATGAAGGCATGCTGGAGGAAATGGGGAAAGAAATTAGAGATGCTTTAGCAAACCTTTTCAGAAGTTCAAGAGAAGTCCCTTGGGACTGGAAAATATAACAAAAAGCGAGTGCTGGGGAAAGCAGCCTGAGGGCAAATTAAGGCTCCATCTAGTCAGTTTGAAATCCATTGCTCAAAGTCTTAAAGCTCTTTAAGTTTGGAGAAATACTTAGAAAAGCATAAGAGCACCTCACTAAGTTGTTTGAATTCACTGAAGTTTTTATTGGTAGAGCAGAACAAAGTAGAACGCGGTGAGAATTTCTGAAACAATGTCTTGCTTGGAAATTATTTTAAAAAGAGAAAAGGAGAGAGGTACCTGAGTAGAAACCAGATGACCCATGCAAGAAGAGAAAAACTCGCTAAGACATATTTGTTGCAATTTTTCAGCTTCAAGCCCTGGACAGGCTATATGGCACATCCAAGTGTTATCATGCCAGTTTTGTAAAGCAGTTTTAAGTTATGTTAAAAATTGCAACACTGCATAGGACATTACAAAGCCAACCATACATGTCCAGCCCTATGTCACATGCAGAAATATTAAGCTGGCACTCCCTGTTGGATTCAGTGAAATGTGGAAACAAACCTCCATGGTCTTTGCCTGGGTGACAGCAGGGATGATGCAAAGAAGATAGCAAGAGTCACACAACGGCAGTATCACAAACAACACTGAAGCAATAGGCTTGCATTGCTTTAATTAAAGTAGATATAGTTTATTAACTCATGAAAATAACGCTAGAAAATTCTGATCATAGAAATATACAAAGATGAAGACAAAGGTAACATAGACATGAAAACCTATAATATGAAATTTTTAAAAAGAGTTTCAGTACTGGTAAAATATTTAACTAGGTGATATTATTTTGTCATTTCTACCTAAGCTCCCCCACCAGCATCAACTCACAGGAAGTGGCACAAAGTTAATGTATCTCCAGTTTCTACTGGTTTATTTTCTATGTTTCATGTAGTGTTCTTTCTATCAACTTTTTTAATTCCTTTAAAACAAAGTGCTGACGCTTATATTCTCAGTGTTGCTATAATGCTTTGTAACTAACATTTCAAAAGTAGCTAATTGGAGGAAAAAAATCGAATATCAATGTTGTAATTAATTTTCATTAGGCAGTGGCATCTTACAGAACAGCGAGCGTGGCGACCTCATCCGTGTGTCCTGCGAATGATGCCATCCCACTACGGCAGCCAGAGAGTTGCTGTGCCTGGGGCTGCCCAGGCATCCTGCAGTTTGCCCAGGCAGTCCCCTGCTTTAAACGTTAGCTCAAATAAAAGCTGACACGAAAGCTGTGGCAAGGACAGATGAGAAAAGGACTATGAAGAGGAGGTATCAGCAGGTGCCACATCTGTGTTTGCATTTAAAAGACTGGGGAGGGGGGAGGGAGGGGGCAGCGGTGTGCGCCTCGTAGGGGTGTGTGGCAATGTCATTGCCCAAAGGCACCTTTCTCCTTAGCAAGAGCATCCTTGGTCCAGAAGGGCAGCTACGCAGCCACGCGACCACTGAGCTCATCGACCAGCGCAGCCAGGACACGACAGCCTGGTAAATCTGCGGGCATCAGAGCTGTGGAAACCCAAGGGAGGACCTGCAGCAGGGACTGAGCCCCAAACGCTTCTGGCTCGGGAGTCCCAAGGTGGCTGGAGGAGTCCGCAAGGGATTTCACTCTCAGTAGGTGCCCAGAGATCAGCACTAGGAAAGAGCTTACCTAAAAAAATATAATGACCTAGAAACTGATAAAACTCAAACGTAACTGGAAAAGTGTTTTGAAATACCAGGGAGAAAAGGAGACAGCAGTAACGAATGTCTGAATCGTTGAAAGGTCCAGCCAGTGAATCAGCGCCGGTGGGGCCTGGCGCTGAGCTGTGGCTGTAAAGTGAGGAACGCGTACACAGCACGCCATCGGGCTGACAGGGAGCCTGCAGAGCGGCACGTTTCATGAGGCTTGGAGAAGTGCAGCTGGTATGGTTGTAATTGTAGCACAGGAATACCAGGACATGGGGCAGGTAATGAGCAAACCAGTAAAATGCTCCACCTCAAACCCTGAAGTCAGAGGTGAAAAATGACAGGCAGCCTCGATCACCTAAGTGTGATGCTTAGGGAGTGGGCTTCAATGACTTCCAGTACGAGGAACTACTGTAAGACTTGCATGCAAGTAAGTTGGCAAGTGAATGGAAAACCTGATGACCATCCGTACATATATCTACATCTGTATCATCTATCACATGCAGGAAGAAGGATTAATTTTGCAAAAGAATCCAGAAACATATAAAAAGCAAACCATTGCAAGGCCTTCAGGGTTGCCACTAGAAAACCCCTTGACAGTTTTGTTAGTTGCACAACACACGCTAAGATAAAACACAGCAAGCACACACTGTGGTGCTGGCATCCTCTTATAGTCCTCTTTGCGTGTATGGAAACTGGGTAAACTTTGGAGCTCACTGGGGACAGTTTCATGACCACAGTGACCGCATCATGGCTCTGGAGGCCCTTATGGGACAGAATCACAGAGTCAGCACAGCTGAGGCTGGCAGCCACCTCTGGAGACTGTCTGGCCCAACCCTTGCTCTTGCAGCCAGAACATGCTGCTCAAGTCTGTGTCCAGTCAGGGTATCCTTGTATCCTTGTATCTCCAAGGATGGAGACTCCGCAACCCCTCTGTGCAACCTGTGCCTGTGTTGAACCACGCACACAGTACAAATGGGTTTTCTTATCTGCAATTGGAATTTTCTGGACTTCTGTGTGTGCCATTTCCTCTTGTTCTGTCCCTGGGCACTACTGAGAAGTGTCTGGCTCCCTTTTCTTTATCTCCCCATCAGGTATTTATGCACATGATCACCCTGAACCTTCTCTTCTCCAGGCTGAAGAGTCCCAGCCCTCCCCGTGTCTCCTTGTATGAAAGTTGCTCCAGTCCTTTTAGCACCTTTGCAGCCCTTCAGTGGACTCACTACAGCATGTCCCTGTCTCTCTTGCACTGGGAAGCACCGGACACAGCACTCCAGATAGGTCCCACGAGTGCAACCCTCTGCCTAATGCAGCCCAGGACACATCAGCTTCTTCCCTGCATGGGTGCATTGCTAACTTATGGTCACCTTGACCCCCAGTGGGCCACCAGGACCCCCAGATCCTTCTCTGCCAAGCTGTGTTCCTGCTGGTTGCCCCCGAGCATGTACTGGTGCACAGGTTTATTCTCCCCAGGGGCAGGGCTTGCCTCCTCCTCTTGTTGAACTTTAGGAGGTTCCTCTCTGACCCCCTTCTCCACCCTGTCCATGCCCTCTGAATATGGCAGCACAACCACTTGGGGTATCAGCAACTCCTCTCAGTTTTGTATCATCTGCAAACCTGCATCGTTGTGGAAGGCTGTCACGGTTAAGCATGGTTTCCCCTTTGTAAATCCATGCTGACTACTCCAAATCACCTCCTTGAACTTCATGTGTCTGGAAGTAGTTTCAGGGATTAGTTGCTTGATCACTGTCCCAGGGATCAAGGTGAGGCTGACTGGCCCATAGTTCCCTGGGTCCTCCTCCTTGCTCTTCTTGAAGATAAAAGTGACATTTTTTTTCCTCCAGTCTTCAGGAACCTCTCCTGATTGCCACATACATATTGAGGTAGCTTTTAATTTTTGTGCTTCTCCATCACAGACTAGCACAAAGCAAAGAACAAATATCAAGAACATCCATTTTGTTTGGTGTTTGTCATCTGCAGAGTACCAAGACAAGACTTTAGATCTCAGACACAGCCATGAGGACATTGAAACTATAGTGGGTCCCTGGTGCCTTTCAGTTATGCTGGTCTGAACGCAAAGCAAGTCCAGAATCTCAGGGCAGGCACTGTGGAGGAACCGGTTTCTGAAATGCGGTCGGTTCCTGGCCATAAGCCAGCTTTCCCTGTAGGGCCACACCAGAAGTGGCCGTCACTGCACTGCTGCCAAGCAGCTCTCCAAAGCCGGAGGCATCATGGGGCAAGAGTTCCTTTAGGTGCCATCATCGGGTGGGAGCACTTCCCATGAAGAGCCTGTACGGCCAAGGGAAGGGTCCTGTCAATATTTGTACTGTTACTGTGAAAATCCACAGGAGCCTTGTGTTGGCCCCAGCGGTGTGCGGACTGGATTAGCATAAAAAGCTGTGCCTAAATCCTACTCACAGACTTGATGTCTGGGCAGCCACCTCAGGTAAGCAGGTAATTTTCTTTATTGAAGTAGGTGTAAGCCTTAGGCAGAGAAAGTGATCACAGAAAACGGACGCCTGGCTTATTGATTCTCCAATGTGGAAAAGGGTTGTAGCAGAACAAGCATAACTTTATACTGGTAATTACAACTGCAAAGTTTGCGTTACTTTATCTGTATCACAGCATATGTTCAAATGCGTACATTTTTCTATGTAAATCCAGAATTAGTCTCTAAACACTGTGTAATGCAGAAAGCTGCTTCTTTGCATGACTTTTTGCTTCACTGCGGTTAGGTTTCTTAGCTAAACCCAAGAGTCACGTGCCATCTTGCTGGGGGAAGCCATAGAGTAGATTAGGGTCAAGCCAATAGGTGACAACAAAGTCTTTCAACTGCATTCATGTGTGTCCAGTTTCATAATTGGAAATCTCCTACATTTGGCAAAGTAACAGAAGACTTAACAGGATGCGTGTAGTTCCAGCCTGGCCTGACTCCGTTGGAAGAACTTGTTGAAATAATGTCTAGAGGTCTGGCTCAGGGGCATTCTGGGGAGGTAAATGTTATATCCTTATTGCTTTCTACGTAAAAAGGGAGTGATTAAAGACCTGGATTGGAATAGGCTCTTTTACAGAGAAATACAAATGCCGATCCCAATTTTGAAGTTCACCCCCAAAGGGGATCTGGAAACAAATTTCTGAAAGAAGCAAGGCAGTGTGTTATGGACACCTTCCACCTTCAAGACTGCTGAATCCTTCTCCCACCTCTTAATCCAAAAGCAAGCTGGCAGAGTAAGGAAAAGAAACCAAGAAACCAAGCAGAGGCCTGGGGACGCAGCACCTCCTGCATTGCTCTCCACTGGGGCTACAACAAGAGGGCTCAGAGCAGGACAGACCCTCAGTGTCTCTCTCCCATCCTCTGAGCCGCTCCTCTGATGAGCCCCTTTCCCTCCCCATCCTGCTGCCCAGCTCCATCCCCCCAAAATCCCTACAAGTAAGCCCAACAAATGATGCTGCAGTTCCTGCATTTCTCTCAGAGTTGCCGACGGTGCGTGGGCATCAAGGAAGGAGCCCTTTCTCCTAGGTCCTCAACCGGCCGGGGCTTCACAGAGCAAAACCACAACCTGAAACAGCAATCAGCAATTCTCAGACAGATCGTGGGGCCTTTAACTTCAGAAGCAGTACAAGATATACGTGTTAATTTGTGGTTAAGGCCTATTTATCTGGAACAGCACTGGAGGGTGGCTTGGCCTTTCCTGTAGCACAGCAGTTGGAACCGCCAAAAGTAAGAGGCATTAAAAGTTAATAAAAAAGTCTGAAACGCACTCGTTAAAATACTTGGAAAACTTCACAGTTTGGCTTCATACCGTACAGCGAGTATGTGAGAACTTGACCGGGCTTGCCTGCCTCCCTAGCAGACTGTCTTGAATTAATACTTAAAAAAAAAAAATCACCTGGCGCCTGATGCTGTGTTAAAAAGCCCCTACCGTGTCAGATACTGTTGTAATTTGCCCTGGAAATGCATCTGAAGCAAAGGAATGCGTGAGCACAAGTCCAGAGCTCAAACAGGGGAAACAGGGGTTGTTATACAGATCAGTGGATACAGATGGTATTTTATTGATTTCGAACCTCAGCCTGAAGTTTCAGGGGCTGATCACTCTGCCACCCCACGCTGGTTCATCTGGCCTCTGGATGGACGGATGTTGCAGCTATTGCTCCTGGAGCAGGCTCTTTGGATACCACGGTATTGAACGGCCTGGCCATATCTGGAGCCATTTCAAGGAAAATCTAGCCCTGTATTTGACCTCATTCTTCTATTTACTCACCACACTAATTAGGTCAGGCGGAGGGAAGGCCAACAAGACAGGTAGGATGGACTATTTGCATAGCTGCAAGCGGTTTCTATCTGATGGAGTGGAGTGGATTGAACCATAGGTGGATTGTGGGTCAAGAGGTTGTTTGAGTTTCACATTCATGGATGCACTCTCCACAGCCAGTGTTTTCGTTATGCTGCTCCACAGCACTCTGCATCGGCTGCTGGGTCATGAACTAAGGCCTGGATCTCAAGCTGCTGAGGATCAGGACCACTGTGGTTATGTATCCATGTGGCACCCCGAGGACAAACCTTCCCATGGTTCATTGAAGGCTGCCCACTTTCCATCTCAGCCATATGGTCTGCCTGAAAGCGGGAGCTTTTGTGTTGTTAAAGACTCTGATTTATCAACAACTGAAACCATCTTTGATCTAGTATTTAGTTCTAGGGTAAAAATTAAAAGATATATGAAGTACCAGCTTGAGATTCTTTCCCTAATCCTTGTACCTCCTACCCCACCATTTCCCCGGGATGCTGAGCCTTTAGCTAAAATTCTACTATCACATTTGGGATTATCCTGCAGAACACCACGTTTATCCTGCTTCCTTCAAAGTGCAATGACTACCTTGGGACCAGGACATAGTATTGAATTTTGCACCTACTGTAGCTTCTATGAGCACAAGGAGTTGGACTTGGTGGCCTTTGGCCTTTTCCCTAGATGAGCTCTCAGAGTTTTCAGGTATAATATATGGAGCCTTATGGCTTTTTTTATGGTAGGGCTTATTTTACCGAGGAAGGTAACTAGTTAGTACTTTTCCTTTTGCCTAGGCTATATTATGAGTGTATGATTACACAGCACTTCTTCAGCAGTGGATTGCTGTTCCCAGACACGCTTCCTTTGGGAGTCTGCTGTAGAAAATTTGAGCTACATGTCCCCCATCCTGCAAAATCCCCAGGCAGGGCTATGAGGAGGTGTGGGACAAGTTCAGAACAGGCAGGCTGTGCGGCATTCACATGCATCATGGGATCCATGTGACACCTTGTGTAAGGAAGACAGGAGGGAAAGGATTTTTGGCCTCCTCCACCATGTTCTCTGCCCAAAATGACTTCGCTTTGAAAAGCATCCCAGCGCTGAGCAGCCAGCACTTTGCTTAGTTTGGGTGACTGAACCCAAATCTCTGTGGAGGAAGCACACCTTAGCATCCCTGGATGGCAATGACTACTCTTAGGGCAGTCCTACCTGTAAACACTGCCACAGTCCTCTGCGCCCTGGAGGCACATAGTATCAGGTACAACCTGTTCCCGAGGACTTCATAAAGAGGAGAGATTCCTGGCAAAACCAAGAGCAGCACCCAGCTTCTCCATGCCTCTTTGCCCTGTCTCCTTCCCCCACAGGAAGCTCCCTGAAAGACTTCTTGGTAGGAAAAGGCCGCTGCTGAAGGGATGGAAAGGAACCCACACAGTGGAAGGTATGCACATGCCTGCCTTCTACAACTTCTCTATTATCAGTAAAGAACAAAGAAATAGCAGACGTGTATCTGATGTGTTTACATGAAAGCTGCAGTGTTTACTGATGCTTTTAAGGTCATATTTTACTTCAGTCAAACATCCAAAAAAATGTAGAGAGTATCTTGCAGTTAGTTAGCTAAACACCTTTTTCTGCCTTTGGATTGGGTAAGACAGATACTCACAATAAACTTTATCTGGGGGACAGTTCAAGGAATTGGCAAGAGAGTTCAAAATCCACTAACTCAAGGTCACTCATCCACTCAAGGAGTCCAGGCTGGCTGAGCAGTGAACATAAATCACCACATTTGACACTGATTTGGTGGCCTATGTAAAACATGAGTGAATCAGCACACAGCTCCCGTGGGAGGAGTATCATATCACAACTGCCAGCTACAGAGGCAGCAACTGGTTGCTTCTGTGAAGAGGCTCAGACTCCACTGGGCCAGGAAAGATAATTTTTCACCTAATCACAGGGAGTTCTAGTCAAAGCATGTATATATATATAGGTGTGTGGCCAAATCTGTCACCTAAGCCCATTTTGATGGAGCCATAAATTCAAGAAATCACAGACTGCAAACACAACCAGGACACGCCCTGGGTACTCCTGCCTGTCACACCAAGTCCTAGCAGGGGACATAATGCCGTGGCATTTCCTCTTGGCATCCTAACAACTTTCCGGGAGATATGTGGATCTGGATCACTATGGTATCCCAATACGTCCCAGTGACCCAGTGAAACAGGGAATTTTACAAATGGGGACTGAGAGACAGTAAAATTGAACTCCATAA